AGTAGAAGTACGTACGTACGTACGACGACGAGAGAGAGAGAGAGAGAGAGAGAGAGAGAGAGTAGAGTAGTAGTAGTTAGTAGTAGTGAGNGAGAGAGAGAGAGAGAGAGAGAGAGAGAGAGAGAGAGCACTTTCAGGTTGTCGCATGAGAGAGATGTTTTAAAATGATATAATTATAGATACCCCAAATTATCTTTCTAGATATCTTAACCAATGTGTTTTTTTTCTCACACCGTAAATCCTAACTTTTTTTTTTTTTTCTATTTATCCTCACTTAAGAGATCAATAAGTTTAAAACGAAAATGCCTTTATCTCTCTCACTCTACAAACTAAAATTTGAGGTACGTTATCTTTTTAAACTCTCTTTCTCTCTACATGCCATCTCTCTTTCTCTTTTTATTTGCTCTCTCTCAGTTTCTCTCTCTATTTATACCCTCTCTTGCTCTTTCTCTCACTCTCTCCGCACGCAAAATATTAGATATCATATCACCTTAGAGAGAAAGGTTTCTTTGGACAAATACACGGTCCGACACTAGGTGTTGGACCACAAAAAAATTTCGATCCAGCATTTAACGTGCCAGACCACTTTAAAGGAACAAAAGATAAAAGTTTTACGGTCTTAGTGCAAAAAAACATTTGGTCCGACATCCAACGTGTTAAACGGCCTTAGAGTGACAAAAGGGAAGGTAGACAGAAAAAGTTAAGAGAGGGCAAGTAGAGAGAAAGAAAGAGAGAGAAGGCTAGAGAAGGCTGGGCGAGAGAGAGAGAGGAGAGAGATGGCATATAAAGAGAGTAGAGAGAGAATGAAAGTTTAAAAAACTGTGTAGGGAGAGGGTAAGAGCGTTTTTATCTTAAACTTTAACTTGAGGTAAATAAAATGAAAAAATCAGTGTTAAGGTTTTGGGTGTGAGAAAAAAAGTAGTGGACGGTAAGATGACTATAAAGTTGATTTTGGGAATATTTATTATTTTTCCTTTTAAAATTTGATGACACGTGCTTAATAGCCGAGATAAATTGTCAACCGTTACTTGAAGAAGCTAACGAAGTAGTGTAGTGTCCCGCAGGAGTGTTCTATACATATACTCCCATACTCCCTCGGAGAGAAAACCTACTTGGGAGCAGGGGCGGGAGTTTATTCGAACCCGACTCGGGACCAATGGGATAGACATGACATGGGTCTGGGTTTGGGACCGACTTTTGGACCCAATGGGCCGGGTGCGGGTAAGGCTCAGAATGGGTCAGATCGTCTATCGGGCCCGATCGTATCCAAAAAATTATTTTATATCTACAAAATAAGATATAATAAAATTATATCCGGATCCGATGAATATTTACAACTCATTCCATCATTAACTTTTGCCATTTGAAGGGTTGTGAATTGTATATTAACTTATATCATAACAAAAACTATTATAAAACATAACTTTTTTTAAAAAAAAAAAACCACACAATTAGTAAATCTACAATTTACAACACATCATATCATTAACTTTTGTAATTTGAAGGGTGGTGAATTGTAGATTGTTATTATATTTATATATTTTAAGGTTAATATATAAAGGTTACATATAATTATATAAGGGAAAATTTCGTATAGAACCCTAATTCCTCATATTATTTCATGGTAGATCTCTTTCCTTTTTTCTTTCAAACGGCATAAGGAAACTCTTAAAGATTTTACCATACACCCTCATCTCTTATCTCTCTTTTTTATTGACTTTTGATCATAAAAATTAACCCCAAAAAATCTTTTTATATCATTTCAACCCAATAACGTTTTTAATGGGTGGAAAGAAAAAAAGATGGTTAAAAAAGTTTTGGGTTGAAATAGTATAAAAAGATTTGTTGGGGCTAATTTTTACGGTCAAAAGTCAATAAAAGACGGAGATAAGAGATGAGCTGGTGCGGTGAAATCTTTAGGGGTTTTTTTATGTCATTTGAAAGAAAAACAGAATGAGGGTCTACCATGAAATAATATGAGGAATTAGGGTTCTACATGAAATTATTTGTTTATACAAACATATATTTTTTATATTTTTATATTTTTTCTTTGATAATTTGCTTATTAGTTTTAAAATGAGAAAATTGATGAAATATTGCCCAAATCTTCTTATTATGTATTTATATGTTTTTTGTAATTCTTAGTATTTTTTGGTAATTTATAGGCACACATTTTTTGTGTAATTTTGAAATTTTTAGTTTTTTTTTTTAGAAAAACATCTCTATACTTTCTATTTTTAAGTTTCATTTCACAATCGATCCAAGGTTTTAAAAGATATCTTGAGGCATAAAAATTGTGGATTTTATTTCTTCTAACCCCCAAACGTATTTTAAACATGTTTTTCTAGGCCAAACAAAACTAAAAAGACATGCCTTTTCTAAAAGCCAGCATCCCAAACTTCTAGAGATAGAGAGCTTCATGGAGGTGAGAGGTTATCGGAGAGAGAGAGAGAGAGAGAGAGAGAGGTGTTTTGAGAACACGGGAGGAGAGAGAGAGTGAGAGACACAAGAAGAAAGAAAAAAAGAGAAGTTTGGGGTATATAAGTGAAGAAAGAGAAATGATTGGGTTTAGAAAGAGCATGTTTTTCTCACATTTGTTTAGGTTAAAAAATAAATATAAAGATGTCAGGGGGTTAGAAGATATCTTTTGAAACCTTGGGTTTATCAAGATATGAAATCTAAAAATATGGGATATGGAGATGTTTTCCTTCTTTTTTTTTTCTATGTATAATCTGTCGTGTCCAGATCCGAGTACAAGTCCTCCAAATAAATTTTGGGTTTGGGTCTAATTTTGGGTCCAGATATTTTGGACCTGATCGGGTTGGGTATGGGTATGGGTCCCATGTATGGATTTTTGGATCCGAATGGACTTGGACCCTATCCAACCCATTCCCAGCCCTACTTGGGAGGACATTTTTAAATCTAAAATTTTAGAAACCACCTCAAAATCACTAGATAAATTATTTCTAGAAGAGAAAATTTGAGTTTGAAGTTTCCTAATGTGCAGATCTTACCTTCAAAAAATTGGACAGTCATTTTTTGAAGACCTTTTTCTTTTTAAGTTCATGAATAGTGCGATTTAGAATTTTTCTTTGTTGAGTTAGTCTAGGTTGAATAAGTATATCCCAAAATTTGGGATCAGAAAATTTCTGCTAGACTGGATTTATAGATAATATGCTACAACAAAAGTACAAGAAATTAGATAGGGACCCGAAAACAAATTCGAAACTATGGCATGGTTCATGCTTTTCCAAGTATTATAATCGATCTACTTCTTATTTTGCCCCCGGCTTGAAGTTGGCAGGATGTTCTTTTTTTTTTTTCATAATTTTTGTGACCTCTAGGGCATCATTATACCCTAGAAATCGAACTACCCATATCTTGGACTTGGCCCAAGTATGGACATCGTTGTTGTTGACATCAAACCACTACCTATGTTATAATTTGTTTTTAGCATATGGAGTGGTTTGATGTCAACAATATTGAACTGGCCTATATATGGCTTGGTTGATACGTAGATCGCTTCAGTGTTTTTAATGTCGAAGTGCCCAAATATAGGGCTGTTTTATTTTTAGGGTATTGCTCAGCCCTTAGATGTTCGAAAAGATATAGGGAATTATAACCTCATTTGACGATATGGCTTTTAATGGAGTAGAATAGAGAATCAGGATTCATATAAATGACCCCAATTAATTGGAAAAATGCTAAAATGATGATGATGATGTACAGCCTTTAGATGTAAAAAAAAAAAAAAGTTGATGTCAAAATTTACCCTTCGATGTTGTAAACATCGAATTGGGGACAAAATCAAAATAAAAATATCAAAAAATAATTTTAATGTAAAATTACCAATGAGGGAGATAAACCAGACTAGAAGCATTTCTCACAAGGAAAAATTGAGAAGTATATAAAGATCTCTCTCTACTTTCATAATTAATAAATAGAAAAAATATCTCTATACCCATTATTTTTAAGTTTCATAGCTCAATAGACTAAAAAATTAAAAAGATATCTTGTAGAATAGAAATCTTAACTTTTATATCTTCAAACCCCTACACTAATTTTACCCACTTTATTTATTTTCTTTTAACCCAAACAATTTGTTTAAATACAGCTCTTTGTAAACCACATCCTTTCTCTTTCTTCACATGATATTCTTTATTTCTCTCTTTTCCTCTTTTCATAGTGACTCTCCCCAATCCCTTTTCTCTTTCTCTCACTGTATTACCCATCTCTCTCTCCATAATGGCTCTCCTTGATTTCTCTCTTTTTTTCTCTCTCATATCCTAGTTTCACTCTCTCTCCATAGTGACTCTCTCTAATTCCTCTCTCTTTTTCTCTCTTCACCATGACTCTTCCTAATTTTTTTCTCTCCACCATGACTCTCCCTAATTTTTCTCTCTCTACCTTCTCTCTCCATGAATCTCTGCAATTCCAATTTCTCCCTCTTCATCCATCTCTCTCCCCAAACCTATATTTTGCAACTGTGAAGTAGTCATCCCAATACTCAAATAAATCTCCCTTAACCATCTGAAGTGCTTTACATGCATGCTTATGTGACAGGATGTAATACAGTCATATAAATCTTTCTTAACCATCTGACATTTGAAGGGCTTTACATGCATAGCAGGATGTAATATTCATATAAATCTCTCTTAACCATCTGAAGGGCTTTACATGCATGCTTACACGATAGGATATAATACGGATGAAGAGAGAGAGTTGGGATGAAAAGAGACCCCATACTCATATAAATCTCTCTTAACCATTTGAAAGGGCTTTACATGCATATAAACATGTCAGGCATGTAATACGGATGCAGACAGAGAGACAGATCACATGTAAT